CTCGTGAATATGTGTGAATAGATTACCCGGGTGTGGCAGAGGCAGATTGTATTCTCACTTTCAAGGAAGAATTAGATAGCTATCTAGTGATGAAATTGATGGTTGAGAGATGGAGTAGTCATATGATTGTTTTTTTTCTTTGGGACGCTGAAGGTTATTCCACAGTGATCTTTGCAGGTCCTATACATTCTAATTAAACAGCATTATACAATTATACGATTCAATAGCATTCTGCACATAAACGTGCCCAATTAGCATTTCACGGACACATGATTGAAAAAACTTTGTACATTGTCAAACAACATGGTAGAGACAGAATCGATAATATTATACACCACCAAATAACATTGTACAAATGGATAGGTAACATTCTACAGACACACAATCAAACACCACGGTGTAGACACACAATCAAACAACGTTGAGCACATGATAAAATTACATAAACTATACAGCACCAAAATAGGCCATTCATTCCACTACTGTGTTTGTACTCCTTCAACCCCCTCCTTCATCCACACTCCCTGTAACCCTCCCGTAGCTGTCTGTTCCCTTCTCCCTCATGTATGCTTTGGCCTACAAATACACATTTATTACACTTTACAGAAGTACTTTGAGATGTCCTACAAAGTGAAAGGCAGTATATCAAATGCAAGGATTATGATTATTATAACATTGTACAACACACAATTGAATAATTTTATATAAACAATTGCTGGTACTTGCTGAGTTATTTAACGTTATTGTAAAAGAATAAAGAGTGTTTGATGTAAAGGACCAGTGGATAGTTAGAGCTACTCAGAGTGGATCTCACATTGCTTCAAGTTAAAATAAGTATTTCCTTTTGTAAAAAAAAGTTTCAATAAAGGCAGTGTTGCTTTCAAACACATTTTTGTCAAATAAAAATAGAAAGAGTAGCACTCTGGTTTTTACAGGGTTTACCATATTTTGCTTTGTGTCCTGTTACTTGGGTGGAGGCTGAGAGGGACAAAATGGTCACAAAATCAATTATTGGCTCTCATTGACATTTCTTCGTCTCCAGCATACAAATGGAGAAATCTTAAACTGGCTCCAAATCGATAAAATCCAATGCCTGAGGCCAAACTGTTCTTAATTGTGGAACAATTTAAAGCCACAAAAACCAACTCAAGTGAAGTTCCATAACTCCCCTTTCCTGCATGTTAAACAGCACTGATGAGAGCCCAATGTGAAGAGGTGAGCCACTCTTGGTTCCAGAGTTTGGAACCAAACAGTTTAGTGAAATCTGGCTGGAAAGCAGCTGCACGATACATTTTGGAGTTTGAAGTGCTTTGGAGCGAGTTACCCTCCAGCGTTGGTAAGCAGAAGAACAGAATAGTTTGGCACTACAATTTTTTTTCCTTAAATCTGATCCTTTTTTGCAGCTATTTATACATCATTCAGATCTTTAACCCTCCCAGGGTTGTGTTTCTTGGGAATGCTTTATTCGACATTTATTTGGATGTGTTGCCCGATTTTACACTGTACAGTTACTGCCCATTGAAAACAATGTTCATGAAATGATATTTGCAAACCAGGATTCAGAAATAACTGCACACGAGGGAAAGCGAGACACACACTCGAGTGTGGGTGGTGGGGGGATATCGACCTAAACGATGGAGAGCATTCCCTCTGTGAGTGACTCATTTTCCTATAAACACTGTGACTCTGACTAGATATGGTTGAAGATGGTTGTAGCAGACGCACACTGGTTTGTTTGTTTGCAAGCTGGCTGTAATGTGGGAATCCCTCTTGGTGTTCCAGAGGATGTTTGGGAGCACATGACAAACACAGCTGACTTCCTTGCACACAGAATTAGCTGTGCAAAAGATGGGAGCCTTTATGCTTGGAATAACAGGATGTGTAGGAAACTGTCCTCTTTGTCTCATGCGCTGTTAACTTGAGCCCATTTCCTCAGCCTGATCTATTTTTCTCTTAAAAGATCCCAGTGGATTAGCAAAGTAACACCCTCTCTGCAGTGGTGCATTCACAGACCTGAGGCATGATCGTGGCACTTGTATTTTCCCAACCTTCTTTGAAGTCTATCACTTGTATTGGCGATTAGTTGGTATATCAACCTGAAATTATTGTTTGTCTTGTGTTTAGTTTTAATCAAAACTGTAAAAAATGTTTTAAATTGAGGATTAATTCCCGCTCCCTTTGTTTTCCCGCTCCTCAACAACCCCTTTGTGGGAGCAGTGGTGACTCGTGCTGGGGTGTGGGTCAACCAAAATCCTCAGAGCTATTGTGTACTCACAGCCTCAGAGAGAGGTGGGGTAAAGGGATCCTTGGCAGGTTTCTCTGATCTTTGGCATTTCTTGCTAAAGAAAAGGGAAACAATCATAGTCTGATTTCGGCAGTTCAGCGTCTGAATAGATTTATTATCAGGCTTCTTCACTAGCTCAGTCGTTAAAGCCGCTGCCTTGAGAGAAAACTGATCCACACACACCCAAAGATTTGAGCTTCAAAGAATCAGCAGATCTCAACCGGGGCGACAGTAAGGACAATATAATTGGCCTCATTGCCTCTGGGCTAGAGAGGGAGAATCAGCAGCTCCTGATCGCAATGCAATGACCTCCGCCGAACACTATGCTCTTACAAATGACAGGTGTGAAGCTTGGTTTGAGGAATGAGCTAGGATGTGACTCTCTGTTGATTCAATCACTTGTCTGCTGACATTCACTGTTGAGGATCAGAAACAAACAATGAGCACCCTGTTGAGAACCCAGAGGGGAGTCTGTGCCCGTGGAATAATTCCTCAGCAAAACTGTTATCACGACAGGTGTGGATGGGTGGGTGGGGAAATGTTCTAAGCCATTACAGTCTACATGTTCAGGTGGACTTTAAAGATCCCATGACATAGATTTTTTGTCTTAAAAAGGATTTTTGTTACGTACGTCAAAGTTCTGGTAACATGAGAACATTTCACCAACCGGCAAAACAGAAAAGTTCGTCTCCACATCTTATGGTACCGCAATGAAATTAATTGAGATATTTCCAAAGCTGATTTTAAAGGTTTTGGTTTTACGTGGGCTATTCACAAGGTTCTGGTTTCACAAGTTTACTTGGTGGAAGTTGATGGAATACGGCTGGGTTTATACAGCTGGGAATGAAGGCACTTTGCCCTCAGCTGTAGAGCACTGTGGAGCAGGAAGCAGAGTTACACTTCCCACTTCATATCTCATAGACGCTGTGAAAAAAAGCAAACTCCTGATGATGAGGTTCTGCACACGTGCAGGCTAGCGTGTGAACACTATACTGAAGTTAGGTGTTGGTGTTCAGTGTTAGTTGGAATCGCACAACTGGCTGTTTAAGAGCATTAAACAGCAGGTCCATTGAAAGTCATGGTTGTATTGAAAGCTTCAGTGATCGGATGGAAAGATTTCAAAACAGGCAAATTGGAGGGAGTGAATTCAAATCAGAATCACACCTTCCATAAATACACAGCAATGAGTGCAGACCGTTCCTGATTCCTGCCGGCTCAGCCCTGAGGTGCACAGTGCATGAAGCGCTCTGGGACGCTACCCTGTGTGAGGTACCCTACATAACTGCAAGTTGTTGCTGTTGAACCTTGAAGTATGCAAGTTTCATCAACTAACATGCAGCAAAAGAGTAAATTTGAAGAGGAAACAAAAGGCTAGTGGAAGTTGCTGTTCAAAAGCGCCTCCATTAGATATATAAGAATCCGTTATTCTGACCTGCTTTTCCGTTACAATGAGCAATCCTCAAGCTAACTGCTCCCCACACCAGCTCCAGTGACGTGTAGAGTTAGCGGGGAGCCAGCTTTGAACCACCCGACCCCAGGATAGTTGAGTACCATCTGGGTTATGTTGACATGGACCTGTCTGCACTGAGGGCTCCGGGGGTGGGGAGGCTCCGGATGGTTTTCAGATCATTACAGAGTGAGCTCCTGGGGTCGGGAGCTTCCAGGACAGGCAAGCTCGCATCCAAACCAAAAAGGGAGGAGTTGAACGCAAAGCGTTTGGATTGCGTTCAACTCCTCTCTTTAATACAGTTAAGTTTCACCCACAAAATACATAGTCAATCCTATGTTTATCCTGTGAAGTGCATTGAGACATCTCAATGATGTGATAAGCACTAGATCAAATGCAAGGATTATTATTATTGTCACGGAGTGCCCTAGAGGAGGAGGTGCAGGGAGGATCAGGTGTAATGTTCAGCGCCTTGGGACGTCCTCCCAACGTGAAGGTGTAATTTACTGTTAAAGCTGGGAATTCTCACTGTAAGCAAAGATCTAAATTATAACTTTGGATAAAAAAATTACTCTCTTCCTCTATAACATCCTCCCCCGCCCGGCTTTAATAGCGTGGGAACCCGGTTTTTATTCTCTTAAGCACTCAGACGCTGCCCCATGTGAAGGACGCTATATAAATGCAAGTTGTTATATAGTCTTTCCAGAATTGGAAGTGTTGTAGCCATATATTTTGAAAATAAGCACCAGACATTTCCACACGTTCAAATTGTACCAGAACATTTTTTTTTCTTATTATCAAAACTTAACTCTAAATTTTCAGCACGTTGTCGGAGGTGAGATCTTTTGAATGAGGCGTTAAACCAAGATTCCATTTAAGTGGTCTTGCCTGTTGGATGATCTCACAACACTATTAAAGAAAGGGAGTTTTTCTGGTGTCCTGCCCAGATCGATCTAATCATTCATTTCACGCGACAATGCTATTGGCAATTGTTGCTGTAGTTTGGTTGCAAAATGAACAGTCACTACACTTGACAATAATTTTGCTTACAAAATACAGTCAATTCACTTTATCGTATATCCAATAATAATACCTGCACTTGACATAGCGCCTTAGCATATTGCCGAGATGGAGTGATAAGGCTCTATATGAAATGCAAGGATTATTATTAAATCCTGTGGTGCTCTTCGAGAGCACTTTGATGTGATTGGGTGCTGCAAAAATGCAGTTGCTTTCTTTTTCTTTAAAACTTATTTATTTGTGTTTCAGTGTCTACTGTCACAGCCCAAGTTCTGGGCCATTCAGGCAACCACCTTAATGCTGAGAACCAAGCTGGAGAAGGGCAGCGGCCGGCGGATTGAGCGGGCCATGAAGCAGACTCAGGTAGGATGGCGTTTCTGCTGCAGTCATTGATGGTTGTCATGTTGTGTCAGCTGGATGGGGGAGAGAATCAGCACAGGATATGTGTCGGCACATTTCTAGCTGCCTGGAGTGGGAAAGGAAGTTTCCGAGCTGCAAATTGTCCAGCCTGTCTAAGCCTGTGCTGTTGGGTGTTTGACTTTTGGCTCCAGGTCCTCTACATGATCTATACTGTAAAGTGAGAAACCGAGAGGACATCCTGCCTGAATGAATTGCACCCCCCCCCCCCACCCCCATTTTGCGTCATGTCTGGAAAACTACTGATCCCTCTGTTCCTGAACAGTGACTCATGCAGGGTGTTAGCTGCTCGTGGATGGTTGGAAATCTGATGTGCAAATCAATTCACAGTGTGAACGCTTCTCTGTGTGACATAATGTGTTGGTGTTTTCTCAGGAAAACCACATTAAACCAATTGTTGAGGCGAGCGGAGGGGGAGGAGGAGGGGGCGAAAGAGAGGGAGGAATAAATGTTTCTGCATCATTATCCAGTAATGGAAACCAATCTTAGAGATTATGGGTTATTTGCCCTCGCTGTCTGGAACTCCAGCCCAAATCCCTCTGCATCGGCCCTTCCCTCCTCACCTTTAAAGCTTGCCTTAAGACCTATCGGTCTCTGTTCTTCCCCTCCCCCCAACCTCTACATCAACTTGGATACTGGTCAGCTGTGTGACGTGTTTTGGAACGTCCTCCTGACGTGAAAGGCGCTATATAAATGGAACCTGTTGTCTTTCTGGAAAAGGTATTGGGTGAGGGGGATTCTCGTTATCTTTCAATCACATTGTTATCAAGTAATAAGAAGATTGTTATGTTCAGCAGTCGGTGTGAAGTAGACACCCCCCTCCCCTTTCCCCGACACACACATATCCCAGGAAGATGCAGCTGCTGTCTGCTAACTTTCTTTGAAGACCGTCACTGCGAGAAATAACACAAAAACAGAACTTTTATTTTTGTGGTGTGCAATGTGATATCTGGCTGTGCTTGGACAGATGAGGTTTGGTTACATTTACACCGCGAGGGTGGGGGTAAAAAAAATGAAGAACTGAATAGCTCAGCAGTACACCAGGTTATTGCTGTCATTTCTAAAAAAAACTTTCAGTCAATGTTAGGTTTTCCTCAATTGGACACAAAAGACCAATTCCGAAATTTGACTTCTGTTTTAACTTTGTTGACCAGCTGCGTGAAGCGCTTCATAACATTTCACTTCCATGTTTAATCAATTGTATAATGTGAACTGCTTTGAGACATTTTATGTGAAAGGTGCTGTATAAGTCCAGGTTGTCGCTTATTTTATTAATAATAATCCTTGCATTTGATATGGAGCCTTTTACGTCAGGAAAATGCCTCAAAACACTTTGCAGAAATTAAGGTAAAGTGTAGTGACTGTGTATTTTATAGGTGAGCATGGCAGTCTAATTACGCGCACTAAAATCCCACTAACAGCAGTGGATTATATTATTTTAAAATGTATCTGGGACTGTTGCAAATAAAAAGGAGCCTGGATGGATGGTTCACTGGATAAAAATACTGCCCTTTCACTTGCAAGTTTTGGGTTCAAGTCAAGTCCAGGGTAATGATATCCCCTCCTTCCTGGATTTAAGAGTCTGTTGTAAAATGACTTTATATACAGTTTCAACTCACTTCCTTGTGGATGTGTGCCCACAGCACATAACTGTCTCCAATGCCACATGAAATTATCAATTTCACTCTGAAAGCTTAGAAGGAAATAGAAAAGTACACACCGGGATCTAGAATGGGTTATTTGCACACCAATTTGTAAATAGTGTAGTGACTTCTGACAGGAACTGAGAGTTACGCCAAGTTATAGGAATTCTACTCTGGCATGACTGGAAATGGGGGCACATCTGAGCGGAGTTCAGGTGCTGTCCCACAACGGAATGGGTGAATGAGAGGACGTGCTGCGTGTGTGTCTGTCTGTGTGTCTCTCTCTGTCTGTCTATATACAATGGGCTTCCATGTATCCAAAATACTCAAGACTTGGATTGCAGCTTTGTTGGATAAATGCATTAGATCAGATTTCATGACTGAATTCTGAATGAGATTTGAGCAGCATGGGGTGTGGCTTTACAGCACAGACAGACTGCTTGAGGGGGCACACAGTTTTGCTGAGAGAGTCTCTTATGATGCACAGCAGATGTTTCATCCATTTCAAAGGGTCACTGTGGGTAGGAGAGCAGAGAGAGAAAGGATAGCTTCAGCATGGTGGTGTTTCTGATCATTGAGTGTTTCAGACAAGCGAAAGTCTGTACCTTACACGCATCCTTCTGGTTACAGTGACATGAAAGGAATGTCCACAGGAGGCAACAAGAATAACAACAACAATATTACACTTGGGTAGCGCCTTTCACGTCGGGAGGACGTCCCAAGGCGCTGGACAGTCAGACTTTTGGACCCGAGCTGCGGGTTGGGATCAGGGAGGGTGGAGTATAAGTGTAAGTGCAAATTGTTGTTGTTAGAGAGCAGTGGGAGAAGGAGGGTGATTGAAAGCACGGTTGAAGAGGAGAATCTTGAGATGGGTCTTGAAGGAGGCAAGGGAGAGGGCGAGGCGGAGGGACTGCAGGATGGAGTTCCAGAGGGTGGGGGCAGAGTGGCTGAAGGCCTGCCTGCCAGCCAGTGGTGGGCGAGCGAGGAAGGGGACGTGAAGCAGGCCGGAACCTGCTGAGCAAAGGGAGCGAGTAGAAAGATAGGGGGTAAGGAGGTCGCATGGGTCACGGAGACTGATGTGGCAGAAGACAGAGGGCTGCAGAGTTCTGGATGATCTGCAGCCTATGGAGGGAGGAGTTGGGGAGGCCGACAAGTGAGGAGTTTGCATAGTCAAACCTCGATGTAATGAAAGAATGAATGAGGGATTCAGCGGCCTGCGGTGTGAGACAGTGGCGGAGGTGAGGGAAGGCAGAGCGGGTCATAGCACAAATGTTGGGTTGAGGGTCAAGCAAGACCCCAAGGTTCCGGACTGGCTCGGTGAGGTGGAGTGTGCATCCATGGACGGTGATGTTGTCAGCACCTGAGGTGAGGAGGCGCTGACGGGAGCCAATCAGGAGAGCCTCAGTCTTGTTGATGCTCAAATGAAGAAAGTTGACTCTCATCCAAGACTTGATGTCTGACAGACATTCTGTCAGGACAGCAGTGGCCCTGGAGTCCAGGGTGGAGGCAGAGAGGTACAGTTGGGTGTCATTCGCATACATGTGGAAGTTGACCCCATGTCTGCAAATGATGTCACTAAGAGGGAGCAGATAGATATTGAAGAGGAGGGGATGAAGGACAGAGCCCTGAGGAACGTCGCACAAAACGGTGCGGGGGCTAGAGGAGAAAACGTTTGTGGAGAAGAAAGGTGTGAGAAGTATGATCTGAACTAGTCAAGGACAGAGCCATGAAGGTTGAGTTGCGAGGAGAGGCGGTGGATGAGGATAGAGCGGTCGATGGTGTCGAAGGCAGCAGAGAGGACAAGGAGGTAGAGAATGCCATTTGTCACTTTGACCAGGGCTGTTTCTGTGCTGTGGGCAGCATGAAAAGCCGATTGGAGGGGTTCGTGAAGGGAGAGGCGGGAGAGGAAGGGGCGAAGCTGGGAAGCAACAATTCGTTCCAGGACCTTGGAGAGGAAAGCGAGGTTGGAGATGGGGTGGTAGTTTGAGAGTAAAGTGGGACACAGGTTCAAAGGTGTGGAGGGAGGGATGGGTAGGGGCTGGGATGAGATGGGGAGGGGCTAGTAGACAGAAGGGCAGAGGCAGCTGAGCGGATCCCCTCGACTTTGGATTCGAGGAAGTCCAGCATCACCTCATAGTTGGCATTGGAGGTGAGGTTGGGCGAGACTTGAGAGGATAGACGGAGGAGCTGGTTAGTGATGGAGAAAAGGAGCCTGGGGTTGTCTGGCTTCCAAGATTGTCTTGGAGAACGCCGATTTAGTGGAGGCGAGGGCGGAGTGGTAGGATTTGTTAAGATCCAGGGAAAGTTTGATTTAAGCAGACACGCGCACTCACAGACAGAGTGACACACACACTCACATATACAAAGAGAGACATGCACTCGCATACACAGACAGAGATACACAAAAACACTCACAGACACAGAGAGACACACCCACACTCACAAACACAGAGAGAGACACACCCACACTCACAGACACAGAGAGAGAGACGCACTCACAGACACAGAGAGAGAGACAGACACAGAGACACACACTCACACAGAGAAAGACACACACTCGAATACAAAGAGAGAGACATACACACACACACTCATACACACAAAGAGATATACTTGTACACAGACGGAGCCACACATTCACACAGACACTCTCATAAACACACACGCATATAGAAGAGACACAGACACACTCACATAGACTCACACAGACAATCACAACTGCAGGGCCTTGGAGTGTGGCCCATTTGCTGCTTGTGCTGCACTGCGCATGTGTGTCCGGAGCCCACAGTGACGTCAGGTAAACAGCGTGAGTAGCCCACTGGCCAGAAACTACACTTATGGCGGGTTTCTAACGGGAAAGGTGCGACCGCCCTTTTCTATTGGCCCAGGCTATAAGGAACGATTCGATAAGGGAGGGCTCATCAGCCTTGAAAAGACACAAGAAAGGACAGCGGAGATGGGCCATAGAGGTTAATGCGAGAGAGGATGTGAGTGAAGAGTTCTGAATGGTCTGGAGTTTATTACAGATAGAGTTGGGGAATCCAGTGAGCAGGGTGTGGGAAAAGTCAAGTCTATAAATGACTGATGCATAGCCAGGTTACTGTAGATCAGCCCAGCCTTAACCAGATCTGGACAGGTCCGACTCTGCCCTAATGCAAGATAGTCTGAAAGCACTGAGAGCCTTTTTATATGAGACTAGAAGGACCCCTAAATTTCCATAGGTGTTCTTGCCAACACTTATGGAAATAGTTTACACCAACAGAGCCATGGATGTGGGTTTTGGCTGTGTGGTTTTGGTGGTGT